TTTTCTTTCTTTATAATGTTATGAGATTTGAACTTCGACATTTATGATCCTCCACTAGAAGCTCCACGAAATGTTGCTGATGCAGACGATGACTCCGATAAAGAAGACGAGTTACAAACTCAACGAGCAGTTGTAGGAGCTTGGAGAAATTCTATGGCAGATATCAAGACGATGACTCCGATAAAGAAGATGAGTTACAGACTCAACGAGCAGCTGTAGGAGCTTGGAGAAATTCTATGGCAGATGTCATGTGGGATGATAGAAGTCATGTGGGATGATGGAAGTCGAGTCACTCTAGGGATTTAGATTTTTATTTATTTATAAATTATTTTATTATTTAAGATGAATAGTGATGCTTTATTGCATTATATTTTATAGTTATTACTAGAATTTGCTTATTAATATTATATTATTTTTAATATATAATTATTAACAATAGTAATTTATACCCACCATTACCCCCACTAAATTATCCTACCAAATTATGCAACTTCATAATATTATCCATCATTATCCCACCAAATTATCCTACCAAATTATCCCACTTTAAGAATTACCTATCATTGTTCCACTAAATTATCCCAGTGTCAAAATATTATCCCACTTTACCAATTATCCCAGTTCTACTTAAAAAGTTCTAGGTGACTAACCCCCCCTAAGGGATAAAATTGTTCCATTGGAACACTTTTGATTTCGATATCTTATTATGACCTTGAGACATCGGCACTCATGCTCGAAAAGCTGGCTATACTTTGTCGTACTGCTTCCTATAACGCTAAGATTCGGATTCTCGCTCCGAGACTCGAATAATTGGCTTTCCATTTTAACGGCATTCCAGAGTTGTCGTTCTGCAATAGTTTAGACTGTGTGCTAGCTAGAGGGGTATGTTCTTTTCATAGGAGGCCGACGGGGAAGTGAGAAGATATTGTTTGACGTTTTAAGACGTTTTGAAATGTCAAGGGTTTGACTCTGAGCCGAGATACCTAGGGCTGTGCATGGTTCGGTCCAGACCGAAAAAACCGACCGAACCGACCAAAAATTAACAGTTTAGGTCGGTTTTGTTTGTAGGTCGGTTCGGATCGGATTGAAAACTTTTTAACCCGAACCGTCCGAACCGTCCGCATCACTAGTAACACTATAATTTTTAACTTGTACCCAATAGAAATCATACCCGACTCGTTCACTAAAATCTCTCAAATCTCAATACCTAAACCCTAAATCCAAGCCCGCAGCTACACTTCCTCTCTCTGTCCGCAGTTCTACACTCCGCACTCTCACACACACTCTCTCCTCAAATCTCAATACCTAAACCCTAATTGTAGATTGTATAAATTTCTCGAGGGAAAAGATGCATACCTAGGAAGATGATTAAAGGTAAAGAAGTTTGTATCAATGGGGAATCGAGCTTGACTAGCCCAAGACATCTAAAACAAGTTGAGATCCTTGGTTTTGATTTTGGAGATGACGATAAATTTGATCTCATAAAAAAAAATCCTCAAAGAAAGTAGGGAGGCTACAAACAGTGAAGATCCGTTATGAAGAAAAGTTTTTGGATCAGGAGACAAACGTGTAGATGATCAAGAAATTGAAATCAATTGCGTTATCGACGATAAAAACTGTAACGCTCATACCATGTACTCGGACTAGTGATTGTTTTCAATTTGGTGCAATGTCTAGTTTTTTGCTTTGAACCACACTGATTCTTCATTTGGTACGAAATATTGAATTGATTTTCCCCACTACTTATATAAAATATGCTATAGCATAATAAATAAATAAAAAGCATGATTATGTTTCGTACTGTCTTAATGATTTTCTTTCAAATTTTAAGGAGATATCTTTGTCATTTGAAATGTGATTCTGAGGGGAACACTCGAGTGGTCATTGTGATAATTCACGTATCTCTATAGTCAATTATAAAAGAAAATCCGACAACTCTAAGTGAAGAAGTAAGATCCTAAACGATAACATGATAATTTTCAACGAGAACAAAGTAATAAAAACCTGAAGAAAACTATACAAAGATGAACTATTAGGGAAAAAAGAAAATGAAGGTGACACCTAAACTAAATGATAAACATTTCTTCATCATAAGGTCACATTAAAATGAAAAACCAATCCCTAAGTTAAAAACACGAACAAGTCTTCATCATAATATAAACGATATCAAACCTTCCAAGTCTCAAGCCACTTCATTACCTTCTAAAAAAACAAAGCCAAATAGATGAATGAACACCAAGCAGAATATAAACATTCACATCAGTTTCCCAATGCACCCTCGATAGCTGCGGAGTTTACTAAAAAGATCAAGTTCACTGGTGGAAAACTAGGCATCGTTGACGGGTATTCCCGTCAAGAATGCCTAACTTCCCATCGGCAATGAATATCCTTGACGGGAATGAATACCCTTGACGGCTTCCCGTCAAGGATAAGCCGTCAGCGATAGTCCCGTCAGGGAAGAACTATCCCTGACGGGCAGCCGTCAGTAATGTTTATTACTGACGGCGACAATGCCGACGGCGAGGCCCGTCAGTGGAAGTGAAACATCGCTGACGGGGATCCCGTCAGCGATGTTTTACTATCACTGACGGCATTACCGTCAGTGATAGGCGTTACTGACGGCTGACGGGGGATTCCCGTCAGCGATAGGTATTAACAGCTAAAAAAAAATTCTTCTGATTATATTCAGTGTTCCCTGTACATATCAATTCCCTGTACATACAAATCTCCAAACGACATTTCATGTGCATTCCAAAACATCTCGAAATGAATACAATCCAAATTTTCCCAATTAAATCTCTCATCCAATCAATTTTCACAAACATTCGAAATATGTACATTCACTTTTCACGATAAGTTCCAAATCCACAACAAACCATACACACATATTTCGAATCCACAACAAGTTCCAAATCCACAACAAGTTCTAAATCCACAACAAACCATACACGCATATCATAATCTCCACTATAAAGATGTCCAATATACAAACACGAGTTTAGGATATAACTCACTAAGATAGGTCATCCGTCCTATCCATGTCATCGTCCGTGTTGCCACTGGCGGCTCCATCCCTACGACTCGTGCTCCCAATAGCATCATCTCCACTCTAACAACAAAATAATTTAAATTTAGAATCACATAATATTGTGTGTAATCATGTTTTACATATATATAATAAGTATACATGTCTGCTACTCTCTCCACTACCAGTAAATGCCTTTTGAGTGGCCAAGAAGTTCATAATCTGGCTTTGCACCCGAGTAGGAACCCGTCTTCTACAAGATTTCATTATTTGCCTAGAAACCATCGCAAAAGTAGCAGTAGGCTGGATCACTCGCATAAGCTCCTCTTGAATATCCTCCCACATCTCCTCGGGAATCTGACCATCTAACATATTCATCACAGAGGAAACAAGTTGCATCGCCTGCTGAGTGCAATCCTCCTGCGGCATGTAAGAGGGCCCCAATGGCATAATCGATGGTGTTGAAATCGGCGGGGGCTGGAATTGTGTAGACACCCTCTGAGCTCCAACTCCCATCTACCTGGTCCTCCCTTTTTTGGGAAGTCCACAAACTAAATGGCTCACATTATAATTCTGCTCTCTAGTTAGGGGCTCCTGGCTCTGTGCAACAACCTCAGAATATGTGTTTTCCAGAGCTTCCTAGAAGACAAAAAAATAAATTTAAGAATTGGCCTTTTAAAAATAAAGATATTTACCTGAACAAGTAAAATAAAAGATGAAATAGTTCCACAACTGAGGAGGGCTAAGTGTTAATAAATGGTTGAAGGGTGTTTTGTGCAACATAAAAGTACATGCGAAGAAGGGTGTTTTGTGCAACAAAAAAATTTGATTATAATAGATGCATGTCATTTCAATTTTGTCAATGAAAAGCACAAGGGAATATGTTCGGTAGATAAAAGGTGAGATATCCACTTAAGCCACTTTCCAAATGGAACACTTCTAGAAATTTAAATAGGACAATACACATTTTCAGGATGTAAGCTTTATGCCTCCCACACTTGAGTTTATACCAATTATACCAATGTAAGAGTTTTTCAGCTATTAGAAGGATTTGCTTTGGCTTGTAAGGTGATAGGAAAAGTTTTGTCATCAGCAATTCAAAGGTTTTCGAGAATAAAACCAAGTAGATCAATCATGTTACAGTATGTTATTTCTTATGCATTATTATATCCTAACAAGCAAGCCCCTCATAAGAATGAGTCATAGTAACTGGGGGAAGAATCGACTTATTTACCATAATCACATAATCTAATGTGAAGCAAGATAGGCCTACCTACTAAATATCAAACGAACAAATGGAAAATCTACCAGAAACATGAATAATTTACTTATCCACAATAAAAACAACCTAATATAATCATCATATTTAAAAGATAAAATAAAATCAAAGTGCATGAAGAAGCTTGCATTATCATAGATGTATGAATTGATTTATTCCATCTTTATATCGACTATCCCTCCATCTATCAATACAAGGAATATCGATCCATGATTTGTCGGGAAGAACATGCTAATAAGAGCTAAGATAATTAGTTAACCTGCATTTTCTTGGCCAATTCTAACTTTTGTTTGTTATTCTCATCGTCATCGTACCCCTTCTTAAATTGAATCATCGTTCTCCTGTACAGTTTTGGTAGCGGGATAAAGGGAGCGTTCTGAGATTTAAAAATATATTTATTAGTTTTATTTATCAAATATTCTAGGAAGCGAAGAGAATATATATAGAAGATTAAAAGACTTTATACCGTTGTCCTACAAAATTGATCCTCAATCTGGGCAAATGAAGTAGTCCCCTATGATGATCATAATCTTTTTTTCAATCGATTAAGTTTATTTCTCCGACATTTTTCCTTCAACATGAATAAAGAGATTTTGGTACAAGCTATAATATACAATGAAATATATCACTAGTTTCAGATAAATAACTTGATGATAATTAACTACTATACATATTTACCTGGTGCTCCTCTTGGCCCTACAATATTATAAGTGCAGCTAAGTGCTCAGGCTCAACCCTCTTATCTCGCTTGTATATCCTCTCCCAGTTGTGAGTGAAACAATCAAAGCATTTCTTCTTTATCTCATGTCTCCACTCCCGAAGAGAATGCTTGAACTTTCCCTGGTATCCAAATAAAAATTCCCACCCTACGGGATTGTCTTCGATGTTGAAATATCTCTAAAAATTAAAATATAGTTAAGCATGAACAATTGACAGAATTGAAAAATAATTATGCTAAATAGAAGAATTTACCCAACAATCTCGATATATACTCTCCAGGACATAAAATGGCTGCTCCCAAGCCTCGTAATAAGGATTGAATTTATCACTCCTCCGTATCAAGCATCCAAGGTATGAGCTGAAGTTATTAGCCCATTGTCCGGTTGGAATCTCATTATGTCCCCATCTCACAATTGCTCGAAAACCATCCGGTGGTAACTTTTTTTTAAAGTCACTTCCTTGGCGTCCTTTTTTCTGGTAAAGTTTTTCTCCTACAACAAAGAAAAAATAATAGATATATCAACACTTTTATTTAATCAATCTTAAGCTCTTAGAATTTACTAAAAAAGGAAGAAGAAAAATATATTAAGGAAAAGAAAAACCTGAGAATATTATGTTTATTAGATATGGATACAATTATGTTAGCCTTATGAATGATTACAATGCAGATATGACCATATTCTATTCTTGTAGCATGCAGGTGAAAGGTTGCTGATGAGTTAACTACTTGCTTTTTCTAGGCAAGTTATTGTCTATTTTCTTCCATAACGGAAACATTCAAATTTCAACATTCTGGAATTGATTATGTTTTCTTATTAATAGACCCGGAATGAAAATTCAACATTCTGGAATTGATTATGTTTTCTTATTAATAGACCCGGAATGAAAATTTTTGATCAAACTCACCAAATCTTTGTCTGATTTTTCTTATTAATAGACCCGGAATGAAAATTTTTGATCAAACTCACCAAATCTTTGTCTGATTTTATTTTTTGCATCAGATAAGATCTCATCAATCTGTGGGCCCCATTCATCCAATCGTTTTTTCGCAAGCATGTATTTTTCTGTCTGCTTGAGTCTGTACCCCTCTGCACATGCTGGTAAAGGCCCGCGCTTAATCCTGGGAATATATGCTCGAAGTATAACTGGAGGATCTGCATATAATGGTACGTGAGTCGGCTCTTCCTCACCCTCACCTAAAAAAATAAAAGAAATAAATTATCATTGTGCATATATCATGAATAAAAATATTTAAGTTAAACTAAGTTATACCTGACATCTCTCCTGAACTCGGTGGCTCTTCCTTAGTGGATTGGTCTTGACTGGGGTTAGCTTCGAATAACCTCCTGTTAATATTTTTAGACATCTGCAAGTTGAATAAACATACAAATTAATATAATATAGATGCAATTTGGCTTGGCGAAAATAAAAACAATATGTATTGTTGCGTTACTAAATTTTTTATTTCACATCAAGTTTGTAGGCATCTGCAAGCTGAATATACAAAATAAGATATTACATATTTATATTGTCCAAAAGGTAATTGAGATATATCGTAGTGATATTAAAGTTTTTATTATACAATTTGCAAACTAAAAAAAGTTACATGAAGACTCGATTACAAATAATTGCTGTTTAGCTCCTATTAATGTCTGTGATAATATTTGGAATGTCTGTCCGAGTTGTTGGAGCATCTGTTTCAAACACTACGTTTTGAGGGTACGAGAATTCATCGATCGCTGCATTTGGCTCATAAAGTTGTTTATATAGCTCTCGTCATCATCTTCATTAGTAGAAAGTTGAATATAAGCCCTAGAATCCTTGTACAGGACAACCCACTCGTCTTTAACTGCAAGATCTTTCACATAGAAACATTGTCCCACCTGAGATGCAAACATGAATTTTTCATCACTATCAATTTCTTACATTGTCCCACCTGAGATGCAAACATGAATTTTTCATCACTATCAATTTCTTTATCGAGATTGACAATTGTAAATCCAAAGGGATCCTTTTGAGTCTTTGTAAAACACCTACGAATCATGAACATCATGTATTTATGTTCATTTGGACCACCATAGCCGTAGAACATCTCCACCACATCTTCCAACCTTCCATAATATGTCATATTATTTTCAACTGGATTCTGATCTCTTCTGTTTGAGAAACATTCCCGTGAGAATGTAGCCATAACACCACTATTCTGGGTGACCTTCGTATCATCAACCTCCATTGTGTGAAATTTATAACTGTTAACACGACGTATCATCAACCTCCATTGTGTGAAATTTATAACTGTTAACACGATACCCACCATATTGAATTACAGCATAGTAAGGCCGCTTTGCGTGAACCTTCACGATACCCACCATATTGAATTACAGCATAGTAAGGCCGCTTTGCGTGAACCTTCACTTCTTCTGATATTTGCGTGTATCATCTATTCTCGTATCATCTATTCTCCCACCGGACGTACCGGTATCCGACATCAGTTCCATTTCTTCAAGACATCCTTCCCCATGAAACGTCCAATATTTGTACTCCTCATGAAATCCTGATATTAAGTGTTTTTGTAAATCACTTTTATCCACCAACGCCCTATTTTTACACCAACAGCAGGGACAATACACGACATCACTATTTAACTTCCGTGAGTCTGCCAAGGCGTACTGTATGAATTGATTTATTCCATCTTTATATCGACTATCCCTCCATCTATCAATACGAGGAATATCAATCCATGATTTGTCGGGAACTATCCCCATCTGTATGATATTAAGCATAATTAGGTAATGTGAATTTTTATTAGTAACGCATCAAATTAACGGTTGCGTGATATTAACTTTCTTCACGACATCAAAAAAATTCAAATTATAATAATCTTGGAGGGAAAATTACCAGAACATAAATTATGTGGGAGTAAAATCTAACGCTCATATTTTCAATAAGAGACGGCTGTCATAGGAAATTGACCTATCCTATTAGGAATATAATAGTGTCTACAACTACCTTCATCATCTTTATGCGTTTTTATTTCTTAAAAATTTCGATAGCACCTACCCGCTGTTCTCCGAGTACACTGTGTGGATGTTATAATGCGTATCAATCATCGATAATAGATCGATACGCAAAACAACATACGCTTATTATACACGGAGAACAATGCGGTACGTGTTATTGAAATTTTGTAGGAATAAAAATGCATAAAGTATATAAAGATAGACGATACACTACTGTATTCCTAACATGTACGAGAAGGGGAATCCTCCCCGGACAGATCTAATAATTATTGCATGTAGAGCATGCTCCTAACATAAATCACGTTATTCTCTTTAGATGTAAAAAGTATTTTCACATTCAACTAGAATTGCGTGAGTTTATATCAGAAGTGACTCACATCCAACAATATTAGACGGGAAACTAGAGGTAACGACTTCTGATTCATAAAATCATGATATATAACACAATACAATCTCGATATATCTAACTAATTAAAATTTTCAGTTAAGATAAAGGCTAAATATCAGTAAATCCCCATTAACTTTAGGACTATTATCAGATAACCCCCCTTAATTTTCAAAATATCAAAAAAAACCCCTTATTTTGATCTTCATATTACAAAAGATAATTAAACTTCTTCATATTAGGAAAGATAATTAAACTTAGGCATCCACATTAAAGCCCATCAAAATCCAATTTTGAACTGAAGAATCAAAAAAAGACAAGAAATTACCGCTTGGATCTCTTGCATTGCAATCCAAGAAAACGTAAGACCCGCTTGGATCTCTTGCACTGCAATCCAAGAAATCAAATATCAGATCAGAAACAACAACAAAACCTAAAATTACAACAAAAAAATTAAAAAAAAAAATCACTGACAGAGAGGTTTCTGCGAGTTGAGCGGTGGCGGTGCCGCGGCAAGCTTCGGCGAGAGATCGGGGGTTCGGGGCCTCGGCGCATGGGCACGGTGCCGCGGCAAGCTTCGGCGAGAGATCGGGGGTTCGGGGCGTCGGCGCATGGGCGGTGGAGTCGGAGAGGAGGAGCGGGAGGTGACGGAGATCGCGATCTAGGGCGGCCGCAAGGGGTGATGGCGAGGGCGGACGGCAGTGAAGTCGAGTGGGGTTAGGCCGGCGGCGAGTCAGAGCTGCCAGAAGGGAATCGAGGGCGGCGACGAGTGTAAATTAGGGCTTTTTAATTTGCTGTTAAAATTAATATCAAACATCGCTGACGGGCTTCCCGTCAGCGATGTTTATTTCCCGTCGGCAATGATCACATCGCCAACGGGTATAACGCATTTGTAACGGCAACATCGTTGACGGGAATTCCCGTCAGCGATATAAACATCGCTGACGGGAAACTCCCATCAGCGTTGTTGCCGTCAGTGATACAAGGTTTTCCACTAGTGGTTGAACATAATCAAACATTGTCCATCCTTATATGGCAGCAAAATTCCAATAACGTGTGATTAGGCACACATAACAATATTACACATGAATGTTCTCAATGAAAGAGTAAGATTAAAGAAGAACACGACTTTCCCGCACCCTAACAATTACACTCTCATTCTCATTAAAAATATATAAGCCTTATTATTCTAGCTTTTATAAATAAATAGAACAAATAGAATGTTGCTGGTGGGCTTTGGTATAGAACTATAATTCTGATATTTTGGTGACTGTAAACTAATCTTAATCTGAGTAATTACCATTGTTACACTGTAGTGGTTTTGCTGGCCTTGTGTGTGTTTACTAGCTGCATTTGTACATCTTGGGCTACCGGTGAGTGTTCCAAGTATTCCATCGTGAACTCACCCTTGCCCTATTTTCATATTGGGAAAAAAAAACAATAATCAATAACATTAGATGACAACTGACATTGGAATTGAATATAAATTATGTATTTCACATGATAATGTATACAACGTCTCTAAATGACTACACTATAAATCTTACCTGTGTCATGGACCGAAAAGGGCGGTTGAATATCCAAACATATTATTCAGTGGTACCTGAGTAGATGATAAATCTTTTATCAACAAGTCATTTCAGATCAATGAACTTCTCCTAAATAATTCAACAGCAGATATTAGGACTCTTGGACAGATATATACGTAATGTGAAGGGTGGGGATGCCAGATTTGTCAGAGAAACAGACACATGCCAAAGACATTGGGACACTGAACTCCATATAAAAAAGGATCTTGCAAAACAAAAGGTATTGGGTCACTGAACTCCATATAAAGAAAAGGATTAATTACATTCAGGTATCTGAGGTATGATGTAAATGTAATTACACGTGACTCTCGAGTCTGTGTATCCACACTACTAACCTTGAGATTACTGATTGTATCTACAGAGTTAAATCTGAGAATGAAAAAATAAACAAGCTCCATGTCACCCTGCAATCAGTAATCTTATAGTTACCCATATAGATGTGTAGACTCTAGGGTCACTAGTGTAATTACACCATACCTCTTGCGGTAACTAATCCTAAGGGCTTGTTTGGATTGAGGGGAATAAGGGTGAAGAGAAGTTAGGGGAACCATTCACCTTGTTTGGGAACATTTAGGAGGTGAAGTTATTCACCCTAGTTCCTCTTGGTTCACCCCCTAATAGTATAAAATTTGTTACCTCCCAAATTGGGGTGTAACCAAGGGGAAGGGAACTCCCTTCCCTTCCTTTCCATTCTCTCACCTAGTTTCCCTTAACTTCCCTTAACCCCATTGAAATCCAAACACACCCTAAAGAAAATGCATAGTCTAACATGATACGCCACAAGGGAATCTTTTGAAAGAGACCGATTTTGATAAATATTTAGCAAAAACAACCATTTTGCTAAATATTTAGCAAAATCAACCTCTTTTTGGCTAGCTCACTAAGGCTGGCATAAAAGATGTCGATTTTGCAAAAATATGGGTTTCAAAATACACAAGACTACTAGTCTCATGTGTTTAAGGCTCGTTGCCCTCTAAACACTACACAGAAAACTCATGGGACTAATAGTTTCATGAGTTTTCTGTGCAGTATCAGAAAACCTACGACAGAAAACCCACGAGACTACTAGTCCCGTGGGTTTAACAGAGATTTTGGTGTTAGTTGGCCCAGCAAATACATGGTACTAGTAGTCCCGTGTATTTTTCGAGCCTATATAAACTCAATCGTGCCCCAAAATTAGGGCACAGCCGCATACCCTTATATCTCTCCGTTTCTATTCCGCTTAAATAAAACCGATTTCCCTCACTCTTTCCCAATCTCTCTTCCCCACCCTATTCATCCTTTCCCACATCATCTCCTTCTCCCTCAATTTTCTCTCTCTCCTCTCCAAAACCAAACCGAGGATCTTCCCAAAAGTTATCTCTTGATTTACTCCGACATTGTTAAACTCTGACGCCGTCTAACCTCTCCGACGCCAACGAACTTTGATAAACACGTAAAATATGCATTATCTTAGTGTGTTAATTACAAGCATGATTTATGAGTGTTTAATGCATATTTCGTGTTTAGATCGAGGATACTGCTGTGGTTAGTGTTCTTATATGTAGGTATTGGCTTAAGATTGAAAGATTTGATGATCGTTGGAAGTTATACAAGAGTTTGAAGCAACAACAAGATTTTGAAGGCATGGTTCGTGAAGAAAATGGATGCACGAGTATGAAGAACTGGAATTTCGACCATGATGCAGTTTGAATCAAGAAAAACTCAAAAGATGAAAGTTGTAGATCTCTTCAACAGATTTCCAACTCAATTTGAATCACCTCATTCCGAGGTCGGACGCAAAAGTTATAGCCAAAATATCAAAAACTAAAGAAACAAGCACAAAATCAGCAAAACAGCCCCTACCACACCCTGGTGTGGTGCAGACCACACCTGTGGTGCGGGAATTAGTTATTTTTCAGATTTTTGGGAACATATAAATAGATGTTTTGACTTAGGGTTTTTGACATCTTTTGTTTTTTTCTTTTAGCCATCAATTAGCAACTACTCTATGGTTCAAGTATTGAAGGAAGACATTAATCTCTTGTAGAAGATTGGATTGCAAGTTTTTACTTTGAAGATTTCAATTGAAAGACGGGTTAACTCTTTCCTCTCTTTGATTAATTTCTTCTTATGATTGATTTGCATAATTATTTGATGTATTCTCTTATTCCAATCATGTGTGAGTAGATTTCTTGTCTAGGGTTAGGAAAGAACCCAACTTTTTGGTGATTGATGATAAATTAATATATGTTCTTGG